AATCCCTCTTCCGGAGGCTTCCGAAGGTTCTAGAGGTAACATACCTCTAGAACCTTCGGAAGCCTCCGGAAGAGGGATTACCGAACGGTATATAACCAGCTCTCCGGATGGGTACATTGAGCTTACACTACTCATCAATCGACAATGTCTATCTGCATGCTTCCATTCTCTACGGAAAAGGCAATTCTGCCTCGTCCTCTGGATGACATCTTCAGCGAACTCGACAACGCCTTCAACCAGTCCTACCAAGTCGAACGAATCCCTTCTCCTCCTCCGAGAAGAAGGGCAGGAAAGAAGAGCTTGGCCGGCCAAGTAAGCAAGGTATGTGTGATGCTTAGGAAGTTTCTCTTGTATAACGAATTCTTCAACCTAATAAGTGAAACCCTTACAGGTCAGCGAAACCCTTACGGGTCCATGTTGGCGATATCATAAGATGTCTCGAAATTCAAGCCAGATGAGCTGAAAGTGAACATCGATGGTCGAACTCTAAATGTTGAAGGCAAACAAGAAATGAAGGAAGGCTCGAGTTATACCTCAAAGTAAGTCTCATAACTCCAAATATCTACATCATTGTTATTCTGATAATTTCTGAGTTCCTTTTTTTAAAGATCGTTCCTTCGCCAGTGGACCGTTCCAGAAGGTGTCGACGTCGAACAGATCCGATCCACTCTCACCGAAGATGGTCATTTGGCCATAGAAGTGCCGAAGCCCAAACCGGCCGCCACTTCCAGGAGCATTCCAATCCAGAAAGCGGTTGATTAATCAGCAGTGAAGAACAGTTAACTACTGTAGTATTGCTTACCTAATTGTTATTAATAAGTTATTCTTACTTTTGTATAGCTACGATGAAGTACGATCTCCGTAGTTCTGTAATTATGTATATGTAGTATTTGCAGTATTGTTAGCGGTACTTAATAAAGCTGTATCGAAAAGATGTAGCCTCCACATTCAATATGTCCTAGGTCTACTTCTCTTGGACTGATATCTTTCAAAATTGGCCGTCGACCCCTCGCCGTCGAAGAAAACCGAAACCATTTTTACGCTTAAACACGCCTTCCACGAACCATCCGCCTAGATCCAGCGCACTCCAGCTAATTTCTCTGACTCTTTAGGCTCCATTATAGAAATACAAGTGTTCATGAATAGAGGAGTAAAACTTGAGGGCCAGCGAATTAAGACGGTGAGACACTGTTCAATACTTACAAAGGGAACGAAAAAAGATAGGAATAGTTGAAAAGGAAATAATGCAAAAAAAAATGACAGCTTTCAGAGCAGAGCGCCGAGCGTTGGGCTCGGAGCGTCGAAGCCG